GACTTGTTCTCAGTCCTTTTCACCTAAGAAAAACAGTTTCTTGTATTTGTAGTTTCTTTCTTCATCTAAATCTCGGCAATTACTTCTGGTTGCAGGTACTTCTATAGTTTGCCTTATCTACTATGGCGAACGCCCTTTCCTACGCTTCTACGGTAATTCTTGTAATTCAATAATAACAGCTACCATTTTCTCAGTTTTCTGATTATTCGTTCGCCAATTCTGGAAATCATGTCCTGTGTCCCTGCAGTCTGGTTCTGTTTGGAGGGGTGGAATTTTGCTGGAATGTGTATCCATCGCAAGTATTTACATCTGCTCTTCTTCTATGCCTCCACTTAGTCATCCTGTGGGGTCTATGGATAGCACCATCCGAATATCCTTACCTCCCAAATAAGCCGTTGACGAGAAAAAACAAATGAACTGCTGCAATGTTTTTGTACTCCTTTTTCCTCCCAAATTCTAATCTACACACGTAACTCTTTTGGGGTGATTGACCCATAAACAGCCAGAAGGCTGATGCACTTACATCCTACTGTCTTCGAGTCGAAGATTTTGTATTCCAATGGGTTAATTTTAACTGTTTATTTGATTAATCTTTTTACCTTACAAGTTAACTTTAGCTTGTTCAGCGTTTATGGTCCTTATTTTTCTGTGATGTATGCTGATGTGCTTATCATTTTTGAAACTCTGAACCAGAGATGGCGCTCTTTTCTCCCCTTATAAGTATTATCTCCATCTTTCCCCCCTTTGATTTTATTAAGCCTATTGACCAAAATGCCATTGAGTATTTTATTCATATATATATATATTTTTTTAAAATTAAGAAGAAACTAGAAATATTTTAGGTTGAGATTATATGATTTTTTTTTCTATATTAATTCAGTAATAATTGGTTCAAAAATTTAAATATTAAATTTTAAATCGTTAATTAATATAATAATTAAATTTATGTGACGGTTAAATTATTTGAATGTACTGAAAAAGAAAAAGAGTTTTGTAAAAAGCGGAAAATTACTATTTTACACTAATGGGTAATGTATTTAAATTTATCTTATTAAAATAATTACTGCAACCTCATTTTGAGTTCTTGAGCATTCTCCGTTAGGATCTGATTGTTTTCGTTAGCTCTTTTGTTATTTGTTTTTTGTATTTAAAAATAAAAAATAAAAAATAAAAAAATTTAATTATTTTTTTAATAAAATTATAAAGTAATATTAATTAACGGGAAAAAAAAAAGAGAATGGCAAAATAGTAATTAGGTGCCAACCAGAGGAAAAATAGGTCCCTCAATCACGGATTACCTTCACTTTCCCCAAAAACTCCACCTTCTCGTCTCTGTCTGTGCCGGAGGAAGCGTAGTAGGAGAGAAAGGAAACTGCAATTCACATATCAACAATGGTGAGTCGTTTTTGTTTTTGCCTCTAATTTTACTATATGACCTATTATTAAACCCTAATCATCTTCCTTGTTCGTGGCTACCTTCTGTTTCGCGACTAGACGGATCTACGTATGTACATTTTCCATGTGGTTAGGGTTTCGGAAAAGTTTCGGAGTTCTTCGCAAAAATGTGTTCTCATCTGTTTTCCTTTTGTTCCTAGTTTTCTTCTCAAACATATTTTACTGAATATGTCCGGTTTATTGGATGCTTTAGTTAGAAAATTATCTATTTGGCACCATATTATGAGAATTGAATTGCTTTAGATCTTTTTGAAAATGAATGAATTACTGGAGCTTCGAAGTTCTAGAAATATTGAAAATATTTTTCGTTATGTGCTTATGCAAGTTTTTTCCTTTTGCTCTAAAGAGCATGTTCCACTGATTTTGTACGCTATGCCTGTGCTATATGGCAGGATGGACATGATTCAGAAGATACGAAGCAAAGCACTGCAGACATGACAGCTTTCGTGAGTTCCTCATATTAGTTGTAACTGGAATTATTTGTTAACTAACTACGTTTGGAGTTGAATTTGATTAATCTTTTTGCTATTAGGATTAGTGTTCATGGAGAACAAAGCATTGGTTAGCGTGCTACTGAGATTTCTGATAATTCCTCTTAATTTTTTATTAGTCTTGCGTCATTTGCGAATTAATAATAATTAGCGACAGTAATAGCTAGTTTAACTAATGCAAAGTTCCATGTGTTCTGTTCTGTTTGCCGGTTTGGTCTTTTCCTTGTTAAAGCCCTGATGTTAATTGCTTTTAATTAATTTTTGCAGGTTCAAAACCTCCTTGTGCAGATGGTGAGTCTTAATTTGGAGCTTTTTGTTCTGCACATGGGATTTTATAGTTATACCGGTTTTAGTGATGGAAATTCTTTTTTGCAGCAAGCTAGGTTTCAGACGATGTCCGACTCCATTGTCTCAAAGAATATCCTTCTTTTCAATCTGCTCTCTAATATTTGTAGAAATCTGATGGCAATAGCACATATAAAGCGATCACATATTGTTTCAATTACTTATAACTTGCTAATGCTATACCTTTTGCTACTCGCTGTCCTAGCACACTAGGCAATTGCATTAATTTTCCAGATAGTAGCCATTTTTACATGCTCATATTCTAGTGCTTCTCAAATTTCTCTTGCATGCACAGAAATAATTTTTATTTTCCCTTCTTTGCGGGCATGCATAACCTAAGAAGAAGAGATTGGTACCCCAGCCAACTCATTTTTTTTTCCTAAAAAGAGATGAAGTGGCTCCAAACTGAGTTGAGAAGGATTTGGGTAAGTTGCATAAGTTGGTTGTTTTATGAGGCTGAATGTGATGAAAAGCACATTCAGACTGGATAATTAGGATTCTCATTATGAACAGCAGGAAGTGTGTACATTATCATGAAGTTGAGGTAGGGAGAATAATGACAGTAGACAATATTTATTGCTGCACACACACCTGGCACCTGTAAGGCAGCCATTATACATTCTTGTGCTCTAGATTCCAGTGGTCATCAATTCTTCCCTCCCCACAGAAAACAAATTGAAAATATTGTGATCCTTCCTCGAATTAGTGAGCAGGAAAAAAAGCAAGAAATCTGCACTTTTAATGAAGTTGAGGTAAGAGGGGAAAAAATTTATAGGGTGAATCCTGTCAACTTTTTTTGGGGTTGATTTTTCCTAGAATTAAGACAGTTTTGTTTCTTTTCCTCTCTAGTATTCTTTGCTCTTTTCCCCCTTAACTCCAATTCACTCGATGAAATGGGAGGTCGCATAAACGAGTTGGAGCAGAGCATCAACGACCTTAGAGCAGAGATGGGAGTAGAGGGTTCTCCATCACCTTTGCCACCGTCCAAGCAAAACCCAAGTGAAGGAAAACAAGAGGGCTCAGCATAGAAATTCAAGATCTCGCCTCTGATGAAGATTGTGACTATGAGCATATTAAATTCGCTTTCCTTATAGTTTTTTGCTTTACAACTGATGTTTACTACGAAACTATGAAAGACCAATTTCTCTGTTTCTTTTGTTGCTTTCGATTTCTACCCGTAGCGGCTTGTGACTGCCTCTTTAACACCCAAAGTTTCAAGATGCTATTCAGTTCATGATTCATGAATGCAGGTGGTTTGGTTTCTTTGTTTTCTTCTTCTTCTTCTTCTTCCCTGATTTTCTAGGAAGTCTTATTTTCAAAATTCTCCTAGGCATTACATCAGCGAGTATTAACAGATCTTGTTATATTGCCGTTTAGCGTGCTTCCCAAACAATCTCCATGTCGTTTTGATCGCTCAAAAGGTCTGGTTCAACGGATTAAGACACTGGATTTAAATAAAATAGATTCAGTACTTCACTGTTTATCGTGACACATTTAATTATTTATATTTTCCTACTTGAGATCTGAGCTCAATATTTTAGAACCTTACTTGTCACCTTTTTAAATTTTTAAAACTTGTAAACAATATTTTATTTTATTTCTTGCCAAATAATTGGGGGGAGAAATGCAAATAATATTATTTTTATATTTTTATCAAAGACATTTTTTTTTAAAAAAAAAAGAACAATTTTTTATATATTAAAATCAATTTTTTGTATTTTTTATTTTGAGCCTTATGGTTATTGTTTCAAACAAAAACTAGAGAATTCATAAAACAAAGTCTAGCCAACTTTTAGTCTCTCGTGCATTAAACAGAAATATACCAAACAAGTTTTATATAATCACAAACCAGTTTAACATAACCAGGAATATATTACTAATCATTCCCAAACAAAACCAACAAAAAGAAATAGTTATAATCATATTACTATCGTGTTTCTATATTAAATCGAAGCAGAAGAAGAAGCAGCAGCAGCAGCAGCTTAACTACTCCGGCAACGAGTAATGGCGGTGCAACCTCTGGTATAAGGATTAGCCTGAGCACCTTGCTGGCAGTTGTAGTATGACGCACCTCTCTGAGAGCATGGCACCGAGTTACGCTGCAGCGAGTCGTAGCTTATGTACTGTGAAGTTGCTAATACTCTCCGTTTGATCTCTCTATTCATCATAAGCTCGAGTTCTTCATCTTCACCGTTCACGCACTCAGCCATGGAGCCCCGACAGCTGTCTTTGCCGAGAACTTCCCAACTGCTCAGCCTGTTGTCGCCGCCACCGCCGTCGACCGTTCGAATGGAGATGATCGTGATCATCGCTGCAAGGGAGACGTTTATGATGAGGAGAGTAGATGTGAAAGACTTCGACATTGTTAGGTTTGCTCTTGGTGGTTCTGGTGCGGTTGTGTCTGTGAAGAGAAGATGGAGAAGGGAGTGGGAAACTTGGTTTTAAAGGTGGAGAATTGATTTTTATTTAATTATACAAGTGCCACTTGACTTTGGATTAATTGAAATTTGACCCAAAAAGTATATATAATTTTGAGAGATTGTATAAATATAATTAATTCATTTAGATATATATTATCCATGCATGAAATTGAATTTGAAATGATTAATTAAGTCAGTATTATAATAATAATAATAATAATACATATGGCAACAGCCATGTGAAACAAAGGCAGGACAAAGGTGTAAGAAGTTTCAAGGAATTTGTCACACAACTACAGAACAGAAAAGAGTTAATAACCTCTGTGTATCTATACTATATATGTATGTATGTATGTGTATGTGTGTGTGTGTGTGTGTGTGTGTGTGTATGAGGTAGAAGCTGAAGTTGGAGAGGTGGGATTTTGTTGAAAGTGTTGGTAAACAATAAACATCATTAATATTCATTTCTAATATATCCTTCATGGTTAACATCACAGAGATGTGTTTGTACCTGTGGGTGTGTGCATATACATATATATTATATACAGAGAGAGAGAGAGAGAGAGAGAGATGGTGGAGATGTATATGGTAGTTGTGTCAAGCAGACAAGCAGAGGAGAAATTCAAAAGAAGAAAATTAGGGAGAGAGTGTCATTGTAGTTTATGTCGATCAACCACCTGAAATAGTTTGGCTGTCCTATTCTCAGAACAATAACATGTATAGTGCCAATAATTATAATGGTAAACTATCAGAAAATGATCCCAATAAATTTTTTAAAGTAAAAAAAAAAAGAAAGAAAAACCTAACTCAAGAATTGAATTTAATCAATGAAGTGGGTTTATATATATATATATATATATATATATATATATTTCTTTGATCCAACTCCATTAGCTCAGTGACCCTTTAATTCATTTTCAACTAGTTAGTTCAATCTTTGCTTGAATTGCTGTAAAGAAAGTTGCTTATTCTGCAATCTCATCTCTTCACCTCCTCCATTTTACCTACCAATAAATCAATGTCAAACAGTAAAAAACACATAATCACTATGGTGAATAATCTAATGGTCAAGAATTGCTTCTTCTGAATTCAATCTTCTCTTAATATAAAAGTATGGGTTCGAATTGAATTGTTCGTTCTGTATTTGTTATATGAAGAATCATCCGATTATCAAAATGTCTGAATTTCAATTCAAAAGAAATATTAGTGTAAGCTTAAACTCATAACCAGCACTGATACTTCTACCATTATATTTCAATTTTTGATTTTTTTAACGTCTAATAATTAAAATATTAATTCGTACAATAAATATTATAAATTCCAGCTAGCTATGGCATTTTTCTTCTTCCTAGTTTCTTATGAGCATTGATAATCTGAAGTTTTGAAATTAGTCAACTGTGATTATTTTGTTAGAGGTAAGTGCAATGGATGCCTCAAGATTCCCCACTTGGATCTCTTCTTGGCACCTTCAATTCCCAGCAGCTTCATGGAGGTTCTCCAACACAAAATTTTCTCTGTAACCGATGGCTTTTGTCTACTTGTACGCAGACAAGAAGGATTCATGATTTGAGTAGTCCAAATTTTAACCTTGAAGATGAAAATGGCACTAATTTACATTGTGGGTGGAGAGAAATTTTGCAGTAAAAGATCAAAATTAACAAATGGACAAAAAGAGAAGATGGCTTCAACATGGGTTCAAGCCCTTTACAACATCTTTCTCAAAAAGCACAAAAGAAAGGATATATATATACACACACACACACACCCACATGCTTAGAGTTACTGAATTTGTAAGTGCCAAAGAGAATGATTTTCTTTTTACTGTTAGAGAAAGTTGACAGCCAGCAGACAATATATGATGCAGAATTAACAATGGTGGGTATTGAATAACACGATAGCTCCTATCAAAGACGGATATAGATTCACTTGTCTTCCTTCAAAATGCTCTCAGACATGAGTTTGAGATGCTATCTCTCTAGCTTGCTTAGTAATGCTTCCATTGGTGGTAGCTCCTTGATAATTTGTTGCCAGTCAGGCATGCCCTGCAAATGTTTAAGAATTTACCTCTGAATCTAACAGGCAAGCTCATAATTCTGGTGTTTAAACTTTAGATAAAGACTCACCAATTACTATCACAGATTGTATTGATCTTCGATCATGTGAGCATGAATATGCTTTCACAAGGTACTTAATGAGAGAAAATACAAGGAATAGATAACTTGAGGAAAATAGGAAAGGTACTGTCAATACTTGTTATCTGTGTAAGAGGATGGAAAAGACTTGTAATCATTTTTTGCTTTGGTGCCGTGTGGTTTATAAGCTGCGGATTATGGCTTGTGGGTTGCTTGGTATTAATTGGGCAATAGTAGGTTCGGTGAGAGAAAAGTTGTGAGCTTAGAAGGGCATTAATGGTCGCAGAAAACAAATGGAGATTATTCCACTTATCACTTTTGGGATGTATGGAAAGAAATGAATAGAAAAACTTTTGATAGAATTGAAAATGCTGATGGTTTTGATATTCTTAAAAATAGATGGTTCCAGACCCTTAGTTTTTTGTTAAGAGATCATTCTCTGTATTCTAAAGAAGATTTAGAGAACCTTTTTGATACTTTAATTGACTTGTAAATTTTGTATATGGATGACACCCCCTTGATGCTTAAATCGATATACATTTCTCTTATTTATTTTAAAAAATATAAGGAATAATTCACTTACTTTCCCTGATCTTCGAACTCGGCCATCCAACCGAAGTATTATGTAGACATCCTCACCAGGAGTAACAGCTTCAGACTTCTGCTGGTCTCGTATCCATCTAAATGAATTTAGAATGAATCTTTAGCAAAAATATTAGACTTTCAAGATGGAAGAGGAAATGCAGAATTGCAAAAATATTAGACTTTCGAGATGGAAGAGGAAATGCAGAATTCCATTCACAATTTTAAGCAGACTGAGAATTAATCATAACCAAATATCTGAAGAATGTGTAAACACGAAACTTTTTAGATGCAGTTCTTTCCTAAACAGATACATCATAGCACAAAACATCTCATCTGAAAAATAGAATGATAAGGGAAGAAAGTGGAAAATAGAGGAGGAGGTGACCTTTCCCATTCAGCAGGTGATACAACCTCTGCCCTAAACCGAATTTCAGCTTTTAACTTTGACTTTGCAGTAATAGATTGCGCTCGTTTCTCAAATTCTTCCTACCATGATGTCATCAGATAGCGTCAAAAGAGGAGGATAACTATGTTGAACAAGCAACAAAATTCAGTACACATAAAACTTCGTCTGGAAGTTAATACTGTAAGATGGTAAGGTGTAAATTTGTAGCACATCAATGCAATAAACTTGTAGGCATGTAGAAATATTAACATACCAAGGGCAAAATTCTAAGCATATATATATATATTTCTTGAAAAGAAAATTTGAAGTCTTCATCCTTACCCCAATAGAAGGAAGAGAGGTAGCTGCTTTTGTAGCAACTCCAAAACCCTTTTTTTCCACTTGGGTGGACTGGCCTTCACCCCATATGACAGGAACTAGAAGAACACCTCGTCTAAGGAGTTCAGTTCGGAATCTCTCTGCTTTTTGTATAGCCGATGAAACGGTATCTTTTTTCCCTGCTAAAATGACCTAAGTTCAAGTCTCAATGAGAAATCAACTGCTTAAGGAGAAGAACACAGAAACAATAACATAGAGTTTTGATCATAAAGCTGGAAGATTTTGACATATAATAGTTTGAGCAAAGAAAGAAGCATTGAATTTTTCTTTTTTAATAAACATAGAAGGATTATTGAAGAGAGAAAGGAGAGTATGAATAGACCGGCAGATAAGTTATCCAGCCGAGGAAATAATGACAGAGCAACAGAACAAAACAAAGTAAAACAAGTAAAAGGAAACAACCAATGTCATATCAAGTAACCATGGCATCCAACTCCTATGTAAAACAGACAAAGATATAACCGAGTAAAGAAAGAAGCATTGATACTAACAGGCCTAACAGTGTCTCGGAGCTGAACAAGCTCAACAACCCGATTAGTAGAAAGGCGCAAGGGCAACCTAGATAGGGTTTCATCCCGTGATATCTGTGCAAGTTGTTCTTCCTCCTTCTTGTTGTCCCAAAAAAATAATGCAACAAGGACAATGATACCTGTAAATCGCTGATTCAAACGCTTAGTCACTTTTTAGAGCCAGTTTTAATATCCAACATAATAATCACTAATATAAATGTATCATAAAAGGTTAACTAACTGAAGAAAATTTCAGTAACAAATCAAGCTCGTGCTATACCTCCAATATTGATGGCAGCATTTTCGGCAGTTTCTAGAAGATCAGGAGCACCATCGCCACCTTTAATTGCACGGAATAGCCTTGGTATAGTAAACAGGAATGAGATTCCCGCAGCTGCTGTGAATGCGAGATAAAAGAATCTCCTAACACCACGAAATGGGGCTTGGACTTCACTGATGAGTTTGAGATCTCTTCGAAAACTAGATCCAATGTCTTCCCCACCTAACCTAGCCTGCAATTGTTGAAATAGTTACAGGCAACAATTTTATGGTTCCAATCCTTAAATGGAAGAAAT